GTTCAGATTATATTACAAAAATGTTCAATGTATAAAAGTTGTTCATCTTATATCAAAAAAATGTATAAATATGTTTTAAATTATTTCAATGTATATCACAAAAATGTTCGCTGTGTAGTTAAAAATTGTTCATCGTACACCAAAGAAATATTTAGTGTATATTTGAAAATCGCTCATCGTATATAATTTTGTTCAGGTTCTCAATAATTGTTCACGTATTAAAAAATCATGGAATTTGAAATTTTTCATCGAATTTTAAAAAAAAGTTCATCGATTTGATAAAGGTTCATCAAATTTGAATAAAAAATTGCACATTTACGAAAAAAAGAAAAAGGAATAAAGAAAAGAGAAATGAAAAAAGAGCAGGAAAAAGGAGGAAAAAATCTCGTGATCTAGAGAAACAATAAAAGAGGGGAAAGAGGTTTGCAAACAGCAAGTGGTAACTGCGCTGATGTCTAAACTAAACATCCCAAGTTCGAACCACCGCACTCACGCTTTTTTGATTGATGCAGTTTTAACAGAAAAAGAAGAAATGGGCCGGCCCAGCCTGGCGCGGGGGGTATGCGCCCGTTTGCATGCAGCGAAGAAACGGGCGCAACGGGCGCGGTTTAGGATTTACCGTTGGGGTGGGCTATTTACACTTCTCTGTTGCGGGCTTGCGGGCCGTGGGGCGTCGGACGTGCACCTCCATTGGCCCATGTGGGCACCTTCTTCTTCTTTTTTTGATTGAAGTAACCACATTCCACTGAACATGAAGATTATTGGCTCAAAAAAAACTAAGCATGAAGATTACAAGGTACAAGGACATGGAAACTATACAAGACATCCAGAGAAATTGATGTCAAGAAGTTACGCACAAAGGAGCCTGTAAAAGAAAAACACATAGTTTGAACATCAGATCCCCTTATACCTTGTTGGACTGCCACCCGTCCATCACCATCGTCGTCGTAGCACCGCTGGAGGCAGAGCGAATCACCCTTCAAAGCCAGATCAAGAGGAGCACATCACAGACTATGCTGTCCTTTGAGCCGATTAAACGATCCGTCACAAGCAACAAGATCGAGTCGTTGTGGCACGTTGGCCGAGGATCTTCCCCATGTCCACCTGATCCCGGCACCGCCGTCTTCACCTGATGTAGTCGAGGAAGAAGAGCGATGCCTCCAACATGCATCTGCTCAGCCAACTCCAAGCCATCAAATTCATCTGCAGAGGTCGACCACGGCACCATCGAGAATGTCAGGCGCCAACCACCAGAACCTAAGTTTGCTGAAACCGTAGACCGACGAGATGACCGAGTCGACTGCTCCCCGGCGTCACCGATTGGAGACCCACAAAGTTGGAGAAAGAACAACGGCTCCACTGAAACAACGCCTCCAGGAAACACTAATCCTGCCCTAACTACACACCGGATTCGAAACGCCGGGGTCCCCTCCCCCTCTCGTAGTCGGAGTGGCAGGCGGAGGAGGCAGGGACCCGCAGCCTCACCTCCGGAGGGAGGGGCAAAGCTTTTCACCTCTCAGATTGCCACAAGAACAGTTGGGAGCGAAGCCAGTGTGTACCCTTTAGGTGAACAGATAGCAGCACCTAAAAAAAGGCGAACGGATAGCTAAATCCAAATGCCCCTAAAAATAGCTAACTTCAAATTTACCCCCAAAATTAATAGCTAAATCAAAATTTGAAACCTCCCCTCAATTGTTTTCGTCTCTCTTGCTGCCTAACCTAGCAGTGTTTGATTTTGCACAATAGTCAAACTAGTTTTGCATTTTTCTTCCATTTGGTCTTGCCGCATGATTCCAATCAAGTATAATATGACAACCGTTGACTACGCTCTATCAAGTACTACAAAGTCCCAAGTGTCACTTTGTATTGGTCTTAAAATATACTGCTAAGTATTAATTAGGCAAATTTTCTCTTCTACCCACCCCAAACACTACATCTAACTGTAATCCTACTATTTCCACTCTAGGGGTTGATAAAACTGAGGGCATCTCCAACGCCTATTACGTCCTTATAAGTCTGCATGGACAGCACAGACACTTTTAGGCCTCTAACATGATGTCTATTTTGGGTCGGACATGTCTGGACGCATGAAATCCCCTACACTAGCCCCAAACCGAGGGATTGTCTAAGAGAGTCTAGACGTCCGCTACGGCGGCCTCTGGCACTCCGGATCCACCCAAAAAACACAGTTGGAATCAACATTTTTTGACAATCCGCCCCTCACCTTTCACTTTGTCCATGTTTCCGGACCCGAGCGCCATCGTCACCCCCTCCCCCCTCCTTCGCCCCCGGCGGATGTTGTCAAACCTCTGTGGACCTCCGCGGCTCTACCCTGCCACCAAGCCTGACATCGCCGCCACATCCCTCCGGATCCGACCTCCACCCCTGCCAACACCGTCCATGGCGGACAACACATATGGCGAGTGTTTGGTCAAATGGCATAGTGCATTTTTTATGTTTTTGTTTTCTTTGAAGCAAGCACAATGGATTTGAACAAGCACGAGCAAGGGCATTCTCGACGGTCTTGCTTAAGATTCCCGTGAAAATGAACTTGCTCAACACATCGTCAGTGGGCGTGTTGAGGTGTGTCTCTGGCGGATCTGTCCTTTATGGATTTGCTCGGATCTGGTCGTAGTTCATCTGCGTTCGTGTGTCTTGAGGTTGGATCCTTCCGATCTACGCTATTCTTCATCGGCGTTGGTTGTTGTTCTACTGCGCTGGTCCTATGTGGTTTTAGCACGACGACTTCCTGACTGTCTACTACAACAAGTTTTGTCCAGCTCCGACGTGGGAAGGCGATAACGGTGGGGCGCCTTCTGCTCGCTTCAGTGCTTGTAGTCGTCGCTAGCTGGTCTATGGATCCCGATGTAATTTTTATTATTTCTAGTGTTCGTTGTACTGCTATGATTGAAAATGAATAGATCAGAAGTTTTCTCGCAAAAGAGGAAAAAAAAAACCTCCCCCGATGCAGCACCTACCAAGTGGTCGCTCGCCCTCAGCCTCAAAGGTCGGCCTTCTTCATGATTCGTTTATTTTTCTCTTTTCATTGTTGTGACATGATGAAGACTTGCAAAACACATACTTGATTTTCTGAAATGAAGACTTTTGGTGTTGATGGCCATGCCGTTTTCTTCCCTTTCTCATATACGTGGGAGCTAGCCAAGAGCACATCTTTTTTTTTTACAAATTACTCATTCAATTTACCTCAGTGTGTGTATTTTTTTACCAATATATTTAACACAGTACAGTTTCCGTGGATTTGAGATTAGCTAGCTATTATGACCATCAGACATGCATCTGAGTTTTCTATGGCACAGTTATATATTCTCCACATTGCATTTTATTTAAAAATCCTACGGCAACACGCGAGGTATCTTTAGTATATGTAATATTTCACATTGCCAAGAATCATACTATAGCAAAGCAGTAGATCCCTGCTAGAGATTACATCTTCTATGCTGTATTTGAAAACTGGTCAAGGGAGAAACAATCTCTCCATCAGGAAGGGCCCTTATTAGATGAATTAACAAGCACATAGCCATCCTCTCTCCATATCATGTTTACCCGTCGAACATCATGCTGGTTGAAAATTTCAAAGACTCTAAATCAAGAGTGCCTTATTTTGATTTATGAGATCAAGAACACCAAGGGCACCGGTTGCTTTTGGCAGACATACACTCTCCCATTAAGCAGCATGACAACTAGTAGATCTCTGTAACTACTATGTTAAATAGGATATCATCCGGCTGTTACAGACTTTAAAAGAATGCTGACACATTTATGTAATGCTAGTTGACTTGCCCATGGTTGTGTACAGTTTTGTGGCATCCTTCATGCACAAATAGCTAGATAGTCTACTACTCCCTCCGTCCCATAATATAAGAACCTTTTTAACACTACACTAGTGTTAAAAACATTCTTATATTATGGGACAGAGGGAGTAGTTGATACAATTTCAATCTTGAAGACCATTTGCGATGTGTCAGCATTCTTTTATTGCTCTGATTCCTAAATCAGCTAGGGACAATAGGCCAATACAAACCAAACTGTTGGCTAACAAGTTGCAGAAGGGTAATTGTATTTATTCTGACGAAGAATCAATATGGTTTTGTCAACAGCACAAATGTCGAGTCTCGCATGAACTTTTGAGTACCTTCACATCTTTCATAAATCTGAAAATGAAGTTGTCGTTTTTCAATATTGATTAAAAGGCATTTGACATGGTGGACTATAGTGCAATTCTCTTTATGCTCAAACTCTTGAATTTGAAGAGAAATTTATCAAATGAACCCAATGCATCTTGCGTAGTGCCTCCAACTTTGTCATCTTAAATGGAGCTCATGAGAAGAAAATCATATGCAATTTTAGCTGCTGAATTCCAAATTGTCAAGGCACAATGGAAATCTAAGCTTGCCCATTGAGCAACCATTTGGACTCGGATATACAGTTGTCCAATATGTAGATGATCATTATTTCTGCTGATCTTGTACAACTGAACAATCTCAATTTTTCCTCCATTTGGTCTAAGGGTCAACTACAAATAAGTCCTCCCTTGTTCCCAAAAGTTTGCTTGTAAAAAGGAAGGAATGCTATTCACATAACTTGACCTTCCAATGGGCACCACGAGGCCTAGAATTGAGAACTTTGTAACTACTATGGTATATAGGATCTCATCCGGCTGTTCCCATTTTATCATGTGTGCCATTAAAGTTCTTCAAGATTGAAATTTATGAGAACTTTATAACTACTATGGAATATGGGGTCTCATCAGGCTGTTACAGACTTTAAAAGAATGCTAACACATTGCAAATGCTCTTCAAGATTGAAATTGTATCAACTAGTAGACTATCTCGCTATTTGTGCATGAAGAATGCCGCAAAACTGTACACAACCATGGGCAAGTAAACTAGCATTACATAAATGTTATTACACATTATACTAAAAATTCTTATATAAAAATCTCACATAAACAGATCCACACAATCTCAGGGGTCTACATTTTATTTCCTACGGAAGCAATCATCATATGGAGATGTATAGCTCGGATAAAACATTATTCTGAACAATTCTTGAGCTCCGCCCTTCATTCTCAATAAATTAACTGTGAGAATCAGATAATGCTTTGCATATTTCTTCATGCGTGCCACATCAAAGATGAATGTCGAAAGATAAAGAAAGAAAACAGGCATCCTGTATCAACAAATAAAATGGTTGATGACAAACTAAATCGAATGTCAGTGAGAAGAACAGTAACAACAGCATATAAACAAAAAAATATAACAATTTCTCTCAAACAGAAGAAAAACAAGTCTACCAGCATAACAACATAACCAAAGCTCAGAAAAAGGACTACATAGTTTCATCTAAAAAATTAACACATCTAGATCCATTGTGCTAGGTGAGAGAGCTAAGCATAACATCAAGTTCCTAATGTTGGAAAGTTTACATACCTAACTACTGAAATAGTAATAAAACATTTATTTCATTTTGGTTGTAGTGTCAACTTCAAAATTACCATAGATAATTCACAGTTACAGGAATATCGAACAACTAATAAGAGAAAAGGAGAATACTAACTTGACAATATCCAAGAGTTCATAGTTCTTCCTGAAGTCCTTAGTAGCCATAATAACCACAATACCTGAACGAAATTTGAAGTTGGTCAAATGTTTAATCAAGACAAAGTTTTACACTTTAGATTTACTAGGAAACATGCCCATGCGTTGCAACGGGAGAAAATTATATCACTCGCTCCTAGTCCAATAAGCATGGCTCAAGATCCCCTACAGAACCCTACAAGTCCAGGCCCCCTCTATTTCAACATGGTGCCCTATCTGTGTCACAACTTATCCTCCTCCCCTCTCTCGCCAACAATGATCGTGGTGTACACTTATCACAGTGTGTCCGAACATGTACCCACATGACTCCGTAGGGTACGGTCATTGCCTAGCTTTTATAATATCAATGAGTACTTGTGTATGATATAACGATGCAGTACCTAGCTATATCTTCTTGGCATCCAAAATCTTCGCGAGAGACTCCTCCATGTGCACCTTGGAGGATGACTATAGCCTCTATCCCGACTATTTTCCTCTGGTGACATGGGGCACGTGTTTTCCATGACCCTTTGCCTGGACCATGCGGCACAGCTGCCTGACGCGCGGTGGTTTTTTCATCTCAGCAGCGGCCGAATAGCTCCCAACGTGACTGCTACCCCTCCGACGCATCTCTTGGTTGCGCGGATGCCTAATACGCAGTCTTGATGGCGACACTACCCATAGATGTAAGGTACCAAATAAATCATGTTTATAACCACATGACATCAGCAATTGCTGCTTTCTATCGGGATGCATTTTTTTCTGAAATTGCAATCATATTGGGTTCGGGAGAAAACAGGCGTCCCACTCTAAAGTAAAATTCAGCACACCCAGTTGCATGTGTTGGCGCAGACTCCAATCACACATCGCAAGTCACTCCGATGACAAGAACTTTCCGTTGAGGAAGACGATACACACGCTGGCTCAGGTACAATGGCTTGCGGATTGCTTTTCGGTGAGATGCGCAAATACAGAGGCTACGCTTGATCGATTCTGCTTGCACATACACAAGTCTACACGCAGATATATATAGCACACAACCGTTTTTTCCAGGAATATAATACATAACCTAGCCTAGTACTAAACCAAGACAGTGATTGCATGGCCCCAACGACATCACATACCGTAATTCTTTTCAACATGTACGTCCTTTTTGTTTGATCAGAAAGCTCGTTTCCAACAACAACAAAAGTGCACCGGAAGTCAGGATGGCTAGGCTTGTCAGGAACGATGGCTTGGCTTGTCCGAGCTCGATCCTAGGCTGACTGGTCCGATCCTAGGCTGGCTGGGCTTTTGTTTTTTCGAACCATGAGGCTGGCTGGACTTGGGATCGATCACTAGGCTGGATTATCCGATCGATCCGTAGGCTGGCCAGGGTCTGGGCCTGGTGGTATTGGTCCGATCGACCAAATCAGCTCAGATCTATCGCTGCCACCGTGGGCGGGGCTTGACGAAAGAAAAGGTGGAACAGGGCTCCGTGTTTAGATAGGAGACTTTCTAAAGATAATGTCAAAGTTGTACAGATAATCTGACTACGGGATAGGCGATCTATGCTATATTTTTTCATTGATGTTACCACGAGATGTAAAACTCAACCAATCAGGACCAGCCCTCGAACACGGATGGGTAGGCCTGTGGGCACTATAGAATGCTCTCACCAGCTACCCGAGCACACTTACCATGAGAATTAAATCAACCTTTATCACTACCTTCTAAAGACAATGTCAAAGCAGTATGCTTACCAAATTTCAAGCGAGTCAGCAAATCATTGCATTTGCCCTGCCGGCGCACCTCCGAGGACATAACGCTCAGTTTATAGAATGCATAGGCAAGGGCAGCATCAACAAAGATGGAAGGAGCAGCCTTCCACAGCTGGTAGCACCCGACGCAGCCAAGAAAAGCACCTACAGAAGTGCAAGCAGCAGTAGAATCAGTAAAATGCAGTGTCAATCAGTGGATCCATATGGCTCTTTCCATTGCTTTCTTTCCAGATACAAATGGGGGATTGTTGTTAGGTGCTACTACCATATAGTAAAACATACCAAACAGCATGCCGACTTGATAATCCTCGAGGTCAAAGACAGTGCGAAGGGATCGGATATCCGAGATGTTGCGCGCCAGGGGCCTGAACATGTCGCACACCATGGCCTTCAGCGCCCCCAGCGCCCCAGTTCGATCTGAATGCTGGTCACCCTCCAGAGGAGGGGAATCAGGCGAGCAGCGCTACAGCGAAATCAGTTTAGAATTCGAGTATGGATTTAGATCTAGAAAGAACAGATAACAGCTGCGCGGCACCTTGGATCAGTAAGACGCTTACCAACGCCCATGGAGCTTCGGAGTATTGTGAGGACGGGATCCTCAGGAGGAGGCTGAGCCCTCGTGTCCCCCTGGTCGTGGCTGAGGGTCGCGCAGAGCCGACGCCGCAGCATCTGCTCCTCCGCGGCGTCAGGTAGGCGCCGCCGCCGCCGCCGCCGCCGGCCGCGCACCTAAGGGCCATTACGGCGCATGTGTTTTTTTTTAGCGTATGTGCCTGTACGCTCGCTGGTTGATGGCTTTTTGGTTCCAACATGGTCAGTCCAAACGGCCCGGCACCAACATGGACTGTTATTTGGGCTTTAGCCAGGGGAAGCCTGGTACTCCGAGTTCCATTGTCATCCTCCCACACAAAAATAATAATCTTGCTAAAAAAACACAAAAATAATAATCAGAAATGATACTTCCTCTGTCCCAAAATATAGTGCATATTATATTTTTTAAGTCAAAACTTGTGAACATCTAGGATACCAAATCAATAACATTAGACTCGTCATGATATATATCTTCATATCATGTCAAAAAAATATCTTCATATGGTATACTTGGTATTGTAGATCTAGGGTACCAAATCAATAGCATTAGACTTGTCATGAAATATATCTTCATATGGTATACTTAGTATTATAGACATAGATAATTTTCTCAATAAACTTGATCAAAGTTTATGAAGATTGACTTTTGCAAAAATTAATGCACACTATATTATGGGATGGAGGGAGTACCTAGTTTTTTTTAGGGTTTTGGCGAGTGGCAGCAATCTCACTGTCGGGAGTATTTTCTAGACGACCGACTCCACCCCAACCCATCCCTGCATCCTTCTCGAGGGGCTTCGGGGGACTGTCTAGCAGCAAAAGTACGGACGTTGTCAATTCCTCATAAAAGGGTGGAGGTGAAGCTTTCGTAATCAATCTTTAGGATGTGTTGAGAAAGTTGAAACTCAAGGAAAAAGAACTTGACAATGTCTTCCTCCTAAAGGCGGACATGGATTAACTAATAGGATACTAGGATCTGAGGTGGATGGCAGTGGATAAGCTCAACATAAACAAGACTTTCAGCACAACCACGTTCCCCAATACCAAGTGCTACACATGGAACTTGGCGAGGGTGTTCTTTCAGCGGTCGATGGGGATAACCTCTTCATCATTAAGTTGGACTGCCTCGGCCCTTCAAAAAAAAGTTGGACAACCTCAGGGATTGGAGGCAAGTTAGGGAGGAGGGGCCCTAGATCTTTCGCAAGTATGAAGTTATGATAGATCAATACAATAGCTTGATCAAGCCCATAGAAAACATGTTTGAGAAGTTGCAAGTGTGGGCACCTATTTCGGACATACCTCCACTCTTCTGCAAGGACACGTGATCGAGAAATTGGTTCCACGAATCATCATTTATGTCTCTATTGAGATGAGGCTGTCGGGTAGGGACTTTGTCAGGTTCAGAGTGATTCATAATGTTTGTGACTCGCTGACGAGGTGTACTGTTCTGAACCGGGAGGAGGGAACTAAGAAGGTTCTTAACTACTACTCCCTCCGTCCTATAATGTAAGACGTTTTTTTGGCTAATGTAAGACGTTTTTCACTAGAGCCAAAAAATCGTCTTACATTATGGGACGGAGGGAGTACATGAAAATATTCCTAAGTTCTTCGAAGTGTGGCATCATAGGCCATGGTCATCTCGAGTGTAGGTAAGGGGCCCATAATATTGAAGATTGGAATTATGTGGAATGGATGGCTGCCATCTACTCTGATTGGCGCCGCCACACATAGGAAGCCCGAGTCAGAGAATACCAACTGATGCGGCTATCATCGCAAATGAGGGGGCGTGGGACGAGAGGAGATAGAGGTCACACCACTAAGTGCAAAGAGTGGGTTTGACCAAGAAGTTGTTTTGGTGAATACGGCGGAAAGAGGATATCGAGAGTCGTAGGGCTTCTCTAGTCCCATAGCTAACGCTTCGGCGGTGACAAACATAACAAATGGTTCTGAGCTAGCGTTGTCAGCAAGAGGAGAGTAGAATGCATTTGCAAGTGATTAATAAGATGGATAGGGTTGGAACCTGTAAAGCCCTGGCCACAACCACCGGTTTTCGGCCGTTATGCCTGGCAGGATCTAGACTGGCCCCACACACCAACACTAGTCTTTCTGTTCACTTTTGTCCTTATTTGTGTGCACCCGAGATCAACTTCCCAGTCATTTCGCCATCTTAAAATTTCTCTAAGCCAATAACGCTTAAATTTGAGTTTCCTTGTGGATGTGCTCCTAAAAAAGTAGAAATTCCTTGTTAATATGAGTAGTCTATAATTCCAATTAAATCGTCACAACACCCCATCCTCTACTCCTACCTACGTGAAGCAGAAGTTAACAAAGAAATTAAGCAAAGGGGCCAAACTCAAAAACTGCAGATCAAGCAGACTCAAGGAGCGCCCCCAAAAAATGAGTGCCTTTTCTTGGAACTGTCGTGGACTTGGCAGCGGCGAGATAGTGAGAGAGCTTCATGAATTTGTGAGGCAATATGCCCCTACTGCTCTTTATGTAGTCGTGACTCGAATACATAAAGTCCAGGTTGAAAAACTAGCGGCTACGCTAGCTTATGACAAGTGTTTTACCGTTAGCAGCTCAGGTTGAAGTGGTGAACTCATCATTTCCTGGAATAAAATTTTACATGTTGAGATCTTATCATATTCGTAACATTACATTGATGTTTTTATACGGGAGCACTTGGAGGTTGATGCGCATGTATGGGGAGACACAAATTCCGTAGAGTTATAAAATTTGGTACATGTTAAGTTTATCTGAGCTTTGTTTGATCTACCCTGGCTGTTATTAGGGGTCTTTAACAAAGTTTTGCAGCGACATGAGCACTCAGGGATGGTGCTGAGGAGCCAGACACGGATGGCGGGCTTCCAGGGGGTGGTTGATGCTTGCGGTCTGTCGGGCTTGGGGTTTCAAGGAAAAAAATTGGACATATGAGAAGCCTGTCGCGGATGGGGCGCATTGCAGACTATGCCTAAATCATGCACTAACATCGCATGACTGCTGTGCAAAGTAAGAAGAAGAGGTCCAGAAAAAAATCTTCACATATGAGGTCATGTGCGAAGCCCACCGACCATTTCTCTGCCATCTTAGCCAATGCATGGCAAGGGCGAGGATAAGAAGCGATCATGCATCAATTACATGAGAAGCTACATGCGATATCAGGCACCCTACAATACTAGTAGAAAAGGGGCCAATGGTCCAGGTCGGTCCAGCTCATTAGTCCCGGTTTAACCCAGAACCGGGACCAATGGGGGCATTGAATCCGGTTCGTGAGCCCCAGGGGCCGGCCGGGCCACGTGGGCCATTGGTCCCGGTTCGTCTGGACCTATTGGTCCCGGTTGGTGGGACGAACCGGGACCAATGGCCCTCGCTCCTGGCCCACCACCATTGGTCTCGGTTGGTGGCCTGAACCGGGACCAAAGGACGACCATTAGTCCCGTTCCATTCCACCAACCGGGACTAGAGGGTTGGTCCTCGTTGCGGCCAAAGTTTAGTCCCACCTCGCTAACCGGAGGGGAATCAGACCGGTTTATAAGCCCCTCCTTCTCTGCCTTATTGAGCTCCTCTGAAAATGAAAATAGATGCCCTTATATAGGGAATTTAGGCTAAATTCATACGAATTTCTCTTGAAATTTGTTATGAATTTAATTTGAATTTCCTCTATAAGCGCATCTATGCTCATTTCTGAGTAGCTTTTTATATAGTTTTTTTTCTTTTCTGCTATATTTATTTTTTCTTTTTATTTCTGAGTTGTAATAAGTCATTAAAAATAAGCATCTATGCTCATTTTTTTAGTAAAGTTAATCATAACTATTTTTTCTTCTATTTATTTTTGAATTGTAATAAGTCACTAAAAATAAGCATCTATGCTCATATTTTAGTAAAGTTAATCACAAATATTTTTTCTTCTTTTTATTTCTGAGTTGTAATAAGTCATTAAAAATAAGCATCTATGCTCCTTTTTTAGTACAGTTAATCACAACTATTTTTTGCTTCAATTCATTTCTGAGTATCTTTTTATATAGTTTTTTTTTCTTTTCTGTTATATTTATTTTTTTCTTTTTATTTCTGAGTTGTAATAAGTCATTAAAAATAAGCATCTATGCTCCTTTTTTAGTACAGTTAATCACAACTATTTTTTACTTCAATTCATTTCTAAGTAGTTTCTATATAGTTTTTTTTCTTTTCAGCTATATTTATTTTTTTTCTTTTTATTTCTCAGTTGTAATAAGTCATTAAAAATAAGCATCTATGCTCATTTTTTAGTAAAGTTAATCATAACTATTTTTTTCTTCTATTTATTTTTGAATTGTAATAAGTCATTAAAAATAAGCATCTATGCTTATATTTTAGTAAAGTTAATCACAACTATTTTCTTTTATTTTTATTTCTGAGTTGTAATAAGTCATTAAAAATAAGCATCTATGCTCCTTTTTTAGTACAGTTAATCACAACTATTTTTGCTTCAATTCATTTATGAGTAGTTTTTATATAGTTTTTTTCTTTTTAGCTATATTTATTTTTTTCTTTTTATTTCTCAGTTGTAATAAGTCATTAAAAATAAAAAAAAGCGCAATGCTTGTTAATTTGCTTCAAGCCTTTCGGAATAGTGTCAACTGCACTGCACATAGCTCTGTGCAGTCTACCGTATTCCTCAAGGCTTGAAGTTAACCAACGTGCAGGAGCATTGGGCCTCTTCGTCATCGTCTCTCCACTCAGGGCTTATAAACAGCTGCGAGTGCCTCTCGCTTGGCGAGGTGGGACTAAAAAAACAACCGCAGGAAGAATTAACAAAAAAACAGCTGCAGAAAATAAAAAAGTAGTTAGACAGGTCCATTGGTACCGGTTGGTGGCATCAACCGGTACCAATGCCGCTCTTTGGTCCCGGTTGGTGGAATCAACCGGGACGAATGCCGCTCTTTAGTCCCGATTGGAGCCACCAACCGGGACCAAAGGTCTTCGTTTCCCGCCCTTTGGGCTGCTGAAAAGAGGCCTTTGGTCCCGATTGGTGGCGTCCCGCTTGGTGCCATGAACCGGGACCAAAGCTTTTGCTATATATACAGCACTTAGCGCGACTTCGATCTCTCCTGCTCCATTCCCGTCGCCGGCGTCTCTGCCGCCACCTCGTCGTCGCCGCCCCGCCCCGCCACGCCCCGACGCCGTC